TGTCTGTATATGCATGGGGGGAGCAATCAAACCTGGAAAAGTTGAGAAATGAGTTTTATTTTGTTCTGGTTTACCTCAAAAAGTTTAAGTCTAAAGTTTTTGTGTTTTACAAGTCCAAAATGAATCATGCAGTTTGTAAAGGTATCTCCTAGTTAACACAGCATGTGGTTTCCCAGGCAAGTTGGAAGAGTTTCTTCCAAATACTTGATTAATCTATGAGGGACAGCAATTTATCTATGGGGTGCACAGACTCCCGCGACAAAGGTGTTTGTCAGCTATCCTTGTGTAGTATTAGATACAATTTCAGCAGAAAAGTTCTGTAGGCTGTGCCTTTGAAATTAAGCTCACCTCTGGCTTGTTGCCTTTGTGTTAAATTGTTACACACATGGTCATGGATAAATCCTTAAGTTCCCTTTCAAGTACTTAGATTGAAAATGAAAATAAAATACAGGCTCTGTATGGTTAAGGGGCATGCCATAAATGAGCAACATCCGAGCTCTAACGTAGGAATATCAAATATCAAACATTAATGACAAATAAACACAGACTGAACTCCCAAGCTCACTGAAGTCTGTCCTCACCTAAAAATTGTCTCCTCTTATTTTGTCAGCGTCTGGCTCCTCATGCCAATAAAGTATTACAGGATTGCCCCATAGTTTACGTGCTCTGCTCAGGCATATTTTTCTTCAGCAGTAGTTTTACAAGAAGCTTCTGCTTATTCACTGATGCAAACCTTGTAACAATGTACTTGAACCGTACGACCCATTTTAATCAGGCAGGTTTAATACTCTGTAACTTAGGGCAACCTCTGATAATTCGCTATGGCCCACCAGAGCACCCAGGCCATCATTTCAGAGCCACTGAATTGATCTGATCCTCTTGCCTCTTCCCCTCTTTGCAACTCTCTGAAGGTGTGGTGTTTGCAGGGAGCCCCCACGTTTGCTGTGGCAGTGTATTTAATACAGAGCCACGGAGCTGGGCGTCACCTGTGTTAATGGGATTGTGCGAGCTGCTGGGAGAGACTGACCCCTTTATACTTCAGTCCTAGGCATCAGCATTAAATCTGCTGTACCTGGGAAAGCAGCTGTCGCCAAGCAGTAGAATAGCACTAACGTTACCCCCTGGGCCCTTCACTAGGCGATTCATTTTCCCCATTAAAGCATTGGGGCTGTTTTCTAGTCCTTAAGCTACAAGTCTCAAATTCCACCATTACTTCTTGTCATCTCCCCGCGACCCAGCAAAGTCAGCTTTGCTCCAGGGGCAAGACCGCAAAACCAATCTTGAACAATTTGGCTGAAAATACTGCATGAGGTGCCTGCCATATGACAGCAGTAAACCTGCCAGGATAGGCACCCGTCTTTGCGTGGCCAGGAAGTATTGCTATGGGTCAGAGCCTGTATTTCACACTTTATCATTTTTATCCCCAAGTTTAGATTCTCTTAGCTTATCTCAAGGTGCTTTTTTGCAATTGTGATGTTAATCCATAGCAGCAGATCCCAAATTGTTATCCCTGGTCCACTAGTGGTCAGTGAGGCCCCGGTAAATTAGCTGTGAAACCTCACCTGCCATGCTAGTGCCTCCAGTTAAAGAATCATAGAATCATAGAATCATTAAGGTTGGAAAAGACCTCTAAGATCATCGAGTCCAACCATCAACCCAACACCACCATGCCCACTAAACCATGTCCCTAAGCGCCTCATCTACACGTCTTTTAAATACGTCCAGGGATGGGGACTCAACCACTTCCCTGG